TAGCGTATCTCACACAAAATGTCATTTATAACGAGTGAAAAACGTGTTCTTGCTAACTTCCGCAGGATCTTCTGTAATAAACTGACGGAACCGAAGCACAAATGAAAGAAAAAAGACATTTGAGGTGTTTGTGTTTTGTGTTACTCGCCAAGCAACTCACATGAACTCATATGCAGGTTTTTCCATCGCCACGTTACATAGAGCGCTGGTGAGCACGTAGTTTGTTTTGCATTATTGAATCCTGGGAATAAAACGGGATAAGCCAAGTAACGCAAATGGTTTAACGTATCGCCAAGTTTTCTTCTGAAAAGTGGCAGCGTCGAGGCAAAATGACGTGAGTTAGAGGACGATCCCATTTGCGAGACACTCAAAGAGACAAAACATGTTTCCTCAAGCAGACCGACTCTAGTGCGTAGTTAATTTGAGCTTGTGTCCCCTCAAGTTAGTATGGTGCCTGAGCTACAACAATTTGCAACAGGCGTTATTTGGATCCTCCAGTATTTGGTAGGTAACGATGAGATCTCCTCGTAGACGCCGATACTCACCACGGTACGCCCCAGGGGCTTGCAAGCTGGTTTGAAAGGATAGAAATGAACAATCCCGGATGACTTTTAACTCTATGTGCATCAAAAGCATGTTTTCTTCAGGAGGCCCGTCCTCACCTTTGTGTTTAGCCATTGTAGAGAGATAAAAGGCACGAACGCTCTCCTTTGGAGGCCAATGTGCTGATCAGTACTTCCCAGTGCTTTTTCGGCTTGCTCCGAGCTGCCGATGCTATCCTGAATTACTACTCCTGGATTACTTACCCGTGAAACACGTTGCAATTACTGTACTGGAAATCCATATTCGTGGAAACGCTAATGACGTATGCACAAAACTTTCTGATTGGAAACAACAATATAGAACATGCAATTGTGTGACCACGTATAGGGCTTGTCGAGGACTCTTTATAGTGCCACATGATCGTCCACTGTCTTAATGCTATGCTATGTCTTAAGATCGTCTGCAGATATTTGGAATTTCGGCTGAAGTACACCGGAAAAGTCGTCTATGAAAACTAAGAACACACAGCACATGCAAGCGTCTGTTGGGGTTAAACCGCCCAATCCCCGTTCGCAGTTATTTTAGGTATGTTTTAAGGAAACGAGTTAATCCTCTATAAGCTATAGAAAGCTCGGTCCAGTACTGCTTTCTCTAGCAACTGTCGTAGGTGACCTGGTATCCTATATCCAATATTTTGCATTTAACAGCAAACGGTGGCATATTTTGTGGTAGCGACTCAAATGCCCGTCGAAGTTAAATCGTAGTGCTAAAGTCCGCATACAATCGCTTACGTAAGTGAAACGAACACAACATACCAACTTTCATCTGTCGAAATGCATAAACGGAAGGCAACTCAGTGGGGTGAAGGAACAGTACAAACTAAAGGGTTACTTTTGAGTCTAATTCTGACCAATGTGGCGAAGGTGCAGGACGCAACCAATGCGAACCTGGGCACCGTTTTAAATGATAACGGCTGTTGACAAATGCGCGGTATAAAGGTGAGAGTAACCAAAGTTCCCATCACATGCAAAGTTCCCATATCCTAATGCCTTTTGAAATTACGCAAGTTCAAATAGCAGAGTTCAAATCACTTGGGAGTTTACTGGGGAGTCTGTTTTATATAAATAAATAAATGGGGCATTTCTTGACCTTGCGAGACACAGACCGATTACCTAGCCTGATCATTTTGTACAATATAAGCGAATAGTGAAAAATGTTGTTCAAGTGTTTCTATGGTCCCAATGGAGTGTTAGGAGTGTTCTAGCATTTAAAAGTAGTAACAGTTGGAGTGTTTGTTAGTAGTAATAAATGTGGGTATAGCCGGCAGTTCAACTAAATACTAGGACTATCTATGTAACCTTCTCTTGTGAGCGTGCTTCGATGCAGAGTACTCCCTCGAAATGTTTTATCCGCACTTCCACGTCTCATCTGACCATCATAATTTTGTCTCGTCTTTTGTCGCTTATAGTTTTTGTCTCAAGTAGACTCACATCACGTTGACACTTTTGCGCTTGGGCCGCTGATATGAGCAATTGGACAGTTATCCAATTGACGTTCAGTTTATAGCCTCAGTTATATGTAGTTATGTCGTCATCACGTTGATTCTATTTTTTTGGGGGGGGGGGCATATTACATACTTGGCACTCCCGCTATACAGCCCATCCCACAGTTTGACTGGTTCGATTCCTGCACATTTTTATTCACCAGTGTGCACTAGGTAGCTTGGAAGCTTTAATCTGTCGCGTTGGCGCCAGGATCGCCGTAAGCTAGTACTTAACAGGAACAGGCCGTGATCGGCGCAGAACTGTAGTAGGCAACTACCGTTGTTCTTTCGAAAGTGCTATGGTCATGTTGATCATCGCGTGCATGTTGTTCAACCTCAAGTCTACGGACGTGCGCATTCACGTTCCCATCAAGCACCACAATGTCTGTAAGTTATCATGAACAAAAGGCCGAAGGTAAACAATTGTTTTCAATGATTCACCTTCAGACCCTTACAATCATATGGGTGAAATAGCAATGAGCGTACAAGGGATTAACCATCAGTTCAAATGAGATTGATCACGTGTCGACTAAAGGCATGAACCAGTAACAAACAGCAAACTAGGACAGAGGTACAGTTGCACAATTGCAGTTGCTCTCAGAAGGATCCGTTTTGGCTGGCCAAGGTAACTTAACAGCTTCGATCAACTTCTTTTGTGCACACATGAAGCTGATCGAAGCGGGCCGCTAGAAAATGCCTGGCAGTGCTACTTCGCGGCGCAGCCTTTGACCTAACTTCCTGATCCGTATGGCGAGAACACTCGCCCAACGCGGCATCGGGTTGTGGACCCTAAACCGGAGGGGGATTACCAAGGATGGGGAGTTGAACAAAAGTGGCATAAACTACCTGGACTATGGTGCCGTAGAGCGCGATATAGCGTGTTCGGCCGCTAGCACATCGGCCGTGGGTAGCATTGGCAAAGAGCAGAGAGTGAAAGAGCAGGATGTCGTTGAAACGTTGTTTCATAAGTTTTGTTTTCATATAGCTTCCCGGTTGCCCAGGCCCAATAATAGAGTTAACCTAAGAGACCCGCAAGTATGTGGGGCAATTGACATATATATCGCATGTTGTTTGGAGCCGGCTACCACGATGATAATAACACGTGCCTTCTAGTGGGAACAAACTACTTAAGATGCCCAAGGAGCCAAAATGACGCAACACGGAGTTCAGGTGATATTTTCTAAAACATCGAAAATGCAGAAGAGTACAAAAGCTGTTGACAGCCCAGTGGCTCATAGGCCTTCGCAGAAGCCGGTAGCCATCGAGGTTGTACATTCGCCCTCTGTTAACTACTCACTCCTGGTCGCAGAAGTGATTGTTAAGTGACCCTATAGCAGAGCACATTGGCTTTGACATAGCGCCTTACGAGCTCTTGTGGTATTTAATGAGGAACCAGGTGACCATTCCATTGCACTGATAATGCCACGTCGCATGGTGATGAAAGATTTAGAAACAAATTTCAAAGTCGGCGAAGGAATGAGCAACTGAATTCCAGTACCTCGCACACCCTAGGACGCTACCGCTGATTGCTCGCGACTGCTAATTCATCTCACCTGCGAACTTCCGATATGTGTTCACAGTTACTTTCTCAAGGAAGGCGTTCCCCGATTCGCAACCTGGGGACGCGCCCGGTGGCGTACCGCTTAGCCGAACCAACCACTGGTTCTATTTGTATGCAGTCACACTGGAAATACTCTCATTATCCCTTGAGTAACTTCTCAAATTAGTAATTGTACGTGGTTTCCCTAGCTGGATAGACTGTTTCGCTGACCTTTTCCACAATGACCATCTTGTTCATCCAGTCTCTTAGGCCTAGTTTCAGATGCAGCTGATGGCGTCTGAATTGTCCAATAAGAATTTCAGTGACTATATTTGACTTGTATCGTCTTTTTAACCCTGCACGATGGGCTGCCAGATATAACACCATTTTCTTCTAAGAACTACAGAGTTGGAATTATTTTTTCTTCACGTTACATCATATCGCAGTTCCGTATTCTCATCTCGCGTTGAGTTGTAGACCCAATGGAATCTATCGATGTGATGCTAAAACTTTTACTCAAGCTATATCAACAAATAAACTTTTCCCATCAATAAATATTCTACAATTTGTTGGCAGATTCATGCTACCTTCATTATATACAATCCAGATTGTACTATTCACGTGTACCACATGTTCGGTCTGTCTATTCTTCAAAGTTCAAAACCATCCTTTCCATCCACCACATCAGGACGTGTCAAAAAGCTATCTGTTTGTTTACACGCTTCAGATTTAGAACCATGGTATATCGTATCTCGTCTTACCACACCACTTACACTTGCTTGTTGTCTCAACGAAAATCATCAGTATGGTGTGCAATTAGTTATCCGAGTTTTATGTCGGGAGATTTTCAAATTGATACTTCATTTGATTTTATCGATTAAACCCGTGTACTTCGTCGTCTGCAGTGAAAGCGTAAAAATGTTGCAAATGTTAAAACCAGGTTCAGCAGGCGTCGTTTGACTCAAATTGTCTTATGAAATGTGTTAGGAACACGTATTTAATGAATGACAACTCCATACTAGTCCATGTGAAGACGAACATCCTATTGAAGTTCACGACAGCGTCAAGTGTGTAGTTTATAGCTGAACATCATCAAACGTAACTAGAAATTGGACACATCAGCGCTTTTCCTGTGGTCTGTGCCTTTAACCAAATATCGACTACGTACATCTTGATGTAAATGGTTGCTCAACTGCTAATGGTGACCCCTATAATATTTTTTAAGCCCAGGTATTTCATTATTACTCTCTACTGTCGGTCAAACACCGCACTTGGACATTGTCTATGTGCGAGAAATTTGTCTCTTCATGAAAGTCGGTAATTACTATCTCATGGTCAGTCGTACTCGTTGACTTATTTTCTGCCTTTTTCCAGATGCTTCAAAACCCAAACATAAGCTGAAGTTCTCTCTCAAGAAAAAGAAAGTGAAGCACGTCAATTTTATTGAGGGATTAGACGGAAAATTGCAGGTACAACAAATATACTTGGATCCCGACAATATGGTGAATGAGTAAGCTGCATCCATGCACAGTACTCGCCCGTTACACCATTGTTGAAGCTTGTGGCATGTTCAAGGTTTGCTATCACTTTAGCAGTTATTATATGAATGACACTTGTAATGGCACTATCCACACTAATCATAGTTCTCTGTCGCGCTTGTTTCAGCATTCATGATTGACGCAAACAATTTTATACAGATTTGATCCTATTATTGCATTTGTAGTACATGTGTGCACGCCTACCCATGTTCCCAGCAGCTCTGGAGTTTTCATGAGCTGTGCTTTAGAATGTGTGAAAGCTGATAACAATTGAAATTACGTATGCACTTTGTCCGTTCTGCTAATTTACTATGCCTGCGCGGCTGGCAAATCGTGCTAGGACGCTAAGTACGTATAATTTTGGTGCAGTTTGAGAAAAAGCAGTAGGCAACGGCATGGTTACACTACTCTTTGATCGCTGTTTGCGCCTGACCGATCTGGATTTTTTTTACACCAATGTAACATTTTAGTCTGGTGCCACTAAATTCCTACTTTATTTCAGATAGGCGCTATGTTGAGATTTCGGTGGAGGGCGGTGATTTCTTTCATTCCCTCCTCCGACAGCTGAGGGCGCTTAACTTTTGTGTATTTTCTCTACTCCTATTAATTAGATATGTGTGTTCGTTTAACAACGATTACCGAATACATTTCACTTTGAGAACCTGGGTGCCATTGCGCTTGGATCTTGGTAACATTCATATCGCATGATTCGGTACTCAAGGTCTTTAGAAGCTTCCGGCTACTTTAAGGAAGTGTAGGTGTTGTTGGCTAAGTAGTGGTGTTCCTTTGTAGTTCATATTATAGGAGTTTATAAGTAGCTGATGTACTCATAGAATACAATGGTTTAGCCATGTTTGTTGATGTCGCTGACGCACCACAGTGAACGTCAAGGTCCAGCTATGTTGATGGTGTTGCTGAAATTGAGCAGAATTTGTAAAGAACCAAGTAAAATACCATGGATTATATTTCTAGAGCTGGAAACGATGTTGGTTAACCAGACCTACTCAGACATGCTGACAGCCGATCTAGCACTGAGATCCGAACTCTAATTGGATTCAGGTTTTCGGTACCTGATTGTGAGGCACATAGTCGAATGCTTTTCTTAGGTTCAGAAACAGACATGTAAGAGTATACCCCATTGGTCGATAAACGTAAAAGTCCGGTTTGGAAGGCGAATGTAAAATTGTGATTATATTGACTGACAAACTATGGCTGATAAACTGTAAGTTTTAATAACTCGAAAATGGCAATAGCTACCGATAAACTTAGAAGATTTAGTAGCAGTAATGGCATTCGGTGCCTTCCCGGTATAGTGGTGATTGGTGAGGTATCGTCGGAGAAGGAAATACAAATTAACTAGATGCTCTGTTGTGCACTATAAAACAAGATGTGCATACTGCTTAAAAGTTTGTTGCCGTAAACTATATGTGTATGGGTTTAGGATCAGTTGAGCAATCCAAGTATTTGAGGATGAACGAAATAAGGGCCTTACATACAGTACCTACCTCATGAAGTGCTGAGCATCACGTGCAGTAGCATCATACGCAAAGAAAATCTCTAAGTGTTGTGTTTTCCACTGACAGTACGGATAACCGATGCGGCGGCTCTGGTCACGATACACCCAGTTTCCAAATCAGAAGACAAACGTTTCTGGCGGAACTTGTACGGAGCACCTGGAAGACAGAATGTACAACCAAAATATGGGGTTAAAATGAATAATTCCTGAGAGGAAATACCTAATTGGAAGTTCCTGACTATAGCAACTACTAGATGACCAAGACCTCTCTTGTTGGTTGTTTAAGTTGTGCGCTAACTGGAGGGCATCAAGGCAGGTCATTCTGATTGGTCAACTTCAAGATAACGCGATGCCATTGGTTTACTCCCATTGGATGGCCAATTAGCTACAGACGGCATACGACCAAGCTTCTCCAGGCTGCTGCATACAGAGACCTGGGGTCGGAAGGTGCTACGAACGGCCTCCTGTAACACCCTCCTCGCGTAAGATGACGCACTATTTCCTCCTGGGATCCAGCTGCATTCTGACCACAGCTCTACTTTTCCGATCAATCCATCACCGTGGCTACAGTCTCATTTTTCTGTAGTCACCGAACAAGGCTCATTAGGTCGCCCTCGAGTTCCAGAGTGTAAGTTGTAATTGTACAACAGAATATCCAGTGTCAGCGATCGTACGCTGGTACTTATCCGAATGCTGGCAGGCTGCAGCTGGTTTGCATGCCTGGTCCAAATCATGGCACCCACTCGAATTTCACACAGTATGTGTCCAAGTCTGCAAACAGTCGAGCCTGTGGTCCACTGTGGTCTTCCAAGGCGATAGTCTCTTACTAAAACACGCTGTCCTGGGTGCAATAGACGTACTTGCGTTCTGTGTCGCTGATTGAAGTAATTTCCATTCGTATTCCTCTCGCTTCTGAAGCACTAATGCATTCAGAGTACGAGGTATTTTACCATTCAACGCTTCTGCTGGGGACAGCTGATTTAACACTTGGAGCATCGGAGTTGATCATTACAACAGAAGGAAAACAGTCCATATCTTTTGGGTAGTTCCTTCCCCCTCATCTTCAGCAGCGTCCCTTTAAAGGTATTGACAAAGCGCTCACGTTGCCCATTGGACTGCAGTTGGAACAGCGGCGAGCGTAGGTCTGTGATAACATTCTGCGTACAGTATTCGGTGAAATGCATAGGTGCGAACTAAGGGCCATTGTCATTAACGAGGGTCGCTGGTATTCCATGTGAGGCGAAAGTCTTCTCAATACGCTTACTGTTGTTCCACTTGTTGTGAGTTCTATGCAGAATACTTCCGGCCACTTGTTGAAGGAATCAGTAACGAGAAGATAGTGTTGTCCATTCACAGGACTAAAGAAATCCGGGTTTACTTGCTCCCACGGTTTTGTTAACAATGGCCAAGAAGGCACTTCTGGTTTCCTGGGTGTATGGCTTACAAGCGCACGATTCGGACGTCATTTCGCTAGCTGTTCCTGCTCCGAGTCGCTATTCGGCCAGTAAACATAACTCCGCACAAGCTTCTTCATTCTGTGAATGCCAGAGTGTCCACGATGAAACTGTCGTAGAATTCTTTGGCGAAGCTCACTGGGAATAACAACTCTTTCCAACATAAGTAAATAACCATTAACGATGAATAATTCCTCGTTTCTCTGGGACAGGATTTGCAATTCCCCATTTAGGTTATCTTTCGGCCACTGTGTAGTATGAATGCTTACCGCTTGTTGTAGGACAGGATCGCGCATTGATGCATCATTTCAAAAGTTACCGGAAGATTTCTGAGCGTTTCCAACAACGCCCGATTCAGTTTTTTCTCCAGAGAGACTGCTGCATTGATAGATTCTTCTTGCTGACGATGCTGGCTTTCCAGTAACCGGGAAAGTGCCTCAGCTTGCCCAATGTCCTTTGTATAAATATGCTTCACGGTAAGTCGTAGCCGAGTGAACGTAGTAGACCACCGCTGCAACCTGTTTGTCGTATGGACACGAATGTCCGACTTTGATCCGAAAACTACCAACAACGGCTTATGGTCAGTAAGAACTGTAAACTTCCTTCCATACATCATTTTCTGAAGTTTCTTTACAGTGATGACTATCGCCAATGGCTTCTTCCTCTATCTGGCCATAATTTTGCTCTGCGGGAGACAGCGACCGGGCTGCATATGCGATTGCCTTTTCCGATCCAACTGGGAACTTGTGGGCTATGACTGCACCAATGTCATAGTTCGAGACGTCTGCAGCCACCATGATCTCCAAAGTTGGATCGTAGATTGTTAGCAGAAGGTCGGATAATAATAGTCTTTTTACCTCGTCAAATGAGCTCTAACATTCTTCGGAACATTCCAGTGTTTATCCTTGGTCAGCAGGTCATTGAGTAAACAACGCAAGTGCTGCATGTGCGGTAGGAACGGGCTGTAATGACTTATGAGTCTTAGGAAGGACCTTAGCTTTGAAACATCTTTGGGCGACGTCATATTCTTGATTGTCTCGATGTTTGCTAGGTCTGGACGCCTGCCGGTCCTATCGATTAGAACGCCGAAACCTAATCGACTCTTTGAAGAAGGTAGACTTCTCAGGTCAGAGTCTGAATCCATATTCCTCAACACGGCCAAGAACTCGATCCAACTTTACTGTATTGGCCATCAGCACTGTCTCCGACAACAATGATGTCGCCTAGGTATACGGTTGCTCCATCGACATCTGTCAGCATTGTGTCCATGATCTTCTGCAATACGGCTGGTGCAGACTTGACTCTAAACGGGGGACGGTGATACCGGTACAAGTCGCCATGCGTATTGATGGTGAGTAATTCTCGTGAAGCTTCAAGTACCTCGATCTACACGTATGCATCAGAGTGATCCAGCCTTGGGAACCATTTACCACCACTTAATTTTGCGAACAAATCCTCTGGGAGTGGTAAAGGGAACTGATGGGCGTTCAATGCAGCACTTAGACCCGTCGAGAAATCGGCTCATATTCGACGCTGACCTTTTAGCTTTTTGACCACCACAATGGGTGCTGCCCAAGACGAGTAGTTCGCCGTTTGAATAACCCCTGCTTTCTCTAAGTGTTGTTGCCGCGTATGGTACAGGGCGTCTCGTACGAAACACTGGAACCGTATCCGGCTAAAGTGATAGTGAAGCTTGCAATTTGGTGGACTTTGCGAGGTTTTCGATAAAGACTGCTGCATAATTTTATTTCTTAGTCGCTCGATAGCTACAGTTTTGGGAGTTGTTGTCTTGTGTATCTGGACACTTGTATAGATCTATTTGCTCGAAATATCACGTAGGTTGAAACACTCGATCCCGTCCAGACTCACAAAGATTCAAATTCTGGTGGCTCGTGATGAAAATCGTTCCCTATGTTGCAACATCGGCACAACTACACTCACAATCGACTTGACCAAGTAGTCTCAACTCGGCACCTTATGCACTTTTCGCCTGCTGACTAGT